TGTTATTGATATTTGACCCCCTTTGGGGCCGAAAATCCCCTTATAAAAGTCATAGCACATCATTCTCAATAAATCCGCATGTTTTGACCCCACTCTCAAGGGTCTGCGATAAAAACTGTAGGATTAGATACGAAACCAATATCTTTGTCCGGAATTGCAAATAACAAATGGTGAAGAACAACAGTGCATTTGCCTAAAGGCAGACCCTAATAATCAACAACTTTAGTTTACCAAACAGAACAGTCCAGTGCATTTTAAATTTTCATTATTTTTATTTCACTGGCTAATACAATTCTAATGTAATTTGAACAATAAATGAAAAATAAAAAGGTACAGTATATATGCTTAAAAAAAGAATGAAAGACTGATGAAAAAAAAAACATATACATTAACAATACTTTAAATAATAATACTAGCATCTCGAGAAGTATATATTGAATCAACAAAAACAAACGAGTACAAATTAATTCAACACTTGATTTTAAATATTTTAAAGAAGGAAACAATTTACAAATGACACAAATAATATATCAAAACAAATGACATCCCTAAAATAGAGTCAGACAGACTGTTACGTTAGTCATACTGTCACTTTAAATGTAATTGTATTGTATTGTGCATAATAACCATGCAAGTGGTTTACACTTCATGTAAAAGCACATTATTAAATGCCCTCTCATCCATTTATCCATTATGTACAGCAACAACAACAGCAACAACAGTATTATTAAAAAACAGAAACTGTATTTTTCTTGTATGAAATTGAGCCCCCAAAACTTTGTGAGCACCAAATGAACTGTGTTAACTTAAAAAGACAGCAGAGCTCACATAGGCAGTGTGTGATGATCCAAGAATAAACTGGCATCAAAAACATTGTTAATGTTCTTTAATTCCTATACAGTGGAAAATACTTGACTATTAAAATAAATAAGTAAATAATATATTTATACAACAGTTCTGTCTGGTTCTCAAATCTGATTGGCTAATAAAAGTGTGATATTGTAGTAATATCAGCACTCCTACAGCCTCTTCACCCTTGTGGATCACTCTGCCCACATGAGTGCCAAGCACAAGACTAAACTCACTACAGTTTACAGTTGCAGCTGTTGGACAACAGGCTTTTTATGTGAGAATGAAGTTATTTAAATTGCAACTATGCTGTTTATTTAGAAGGATAGCGCTTGAAAATATGTTTTTATAATTTTGGAGATGAAACTTTCAGCTCGTTGGCGGCAATAAGCCTGTCATATTGAGCAGAAAGCAAGACGGTCGATGTTCCACCACAAGATGGTGGCAGAGAACGTATAATAAGTCCTTACAGGGAGAAAAATGGTTTCTTTCAGCGTACATTTAAAACTACAGCTGAACAAATCAGAACATGTAAGCTCCATTCTTTGTCGAGCTCTCTTTTGTATACCAAAGTCATCTAGTACTGTTTGCTTTGCTTGGTTTGGCTTGTTCGGGTTCATTTTTGTGAAAACAACCTGATTTCAACAGAAATGCTGCAAGATCTCTGTATACTGATGTCATTTCATTTTATCCCATCTAGCCTTATAACCTTAAAATGTGAGCAAATCATCTGTATTATCATCACTCAGACATTACAACACTTTACATTATGCAAGAGAATTATTCAAATACTAGTTCTAAAGTGATGTTTTTAAAAAGGCAACGGTTTCTGCTGTGCTGACGATCAGCTGCAGATGCAAATAAACGGCGGAAGAAAGTAGTTCCTCATACAAAATTTTTGAGACTCTCCGTGTTTGATTTTCTTCTTTATGAACATGATTATGCTGTCGAGTGTTGTATAAATGCATTATAACCCTTGATATGTATGTCTATATATCGTCACTGCTGGGATACTAAGGCACTTGGCTTGCGGCCTCAAACAGTGCTGTATCTATATTTATGATATTGCTCATATATATATATATTTATATGACAGTGCATCCGGAAAGTATTCATAGCACTTCACTTTTTCCACATTTTTTATGTTACAACCTTATTCCAAAATGGATTAAATTCATTTATTTCCTCAAAATTCTACACAAAATGCCCCATAATGACAATGTGAAAACAGATTTTTTTTTAAATTGTTGCAAATTTATAAAAAAACGCACAAACCAAAATCCTATTGAACATATCTATAGAGATCTGAAAATGGCTAAACACTGTCTCTTCCCATCCTACCTGATATAGCTTAAGAGGTACTGCAAAGAGTAATGGGTAAAAATTCCCAAAGATCGGTGTGCCAAGCTTGTGGCATCATATTCAAAAAGACTTGAGGCTGTAATTGTTGCCAAATGTGCATCAACAAAGTATTGAGCAAAGGCTGTGAATACTTCTGTACATCTGATTTTTCAGGTTTTTTATTTCTAATAAATTTGCAACAATTTCAAAAAATCTTTTTACACATTGTCATTATGAGGTATTGTGTGTAGAACTTTGAGGAAATAAATGAATTGTATCCATTTTGGAATAAGGTTGTAACATAAAAAAAAATGTGGAAAAAGTGAAGCGCTATGAGTACTTTCCGCATGCTCTGTATAAAAATCTTAAAACGATCTGGAGAGTTTACCATTAAAATAATGCTGTGTCACTGAATCTAGTCCAGATGAAGTTATACTGGGGTGACACATTATTTGAAGAGTAAACTATACAAAGAAAGATAATACAAGATCAAAACCTTTGTCAAAATTGCGTAAAAATACATGTTGTACAATAAAAATATTATATTCTTGTTCAAGAAATGGAAAAAAAAAAAGTCACACACACACTTCAATGTGCAAAATTATACTGAGAAAAAAAACTAGATGCCTTGTGCAGAGTAAAATGAAAACCACTTATCATGCCCTACATTTACAAAAGCACCTAATGTTAATATAATACAGACAGATAGGCAGCATACTTAGGCCCTACTCACACTATGCTATCCGAACCGTGCCCAGGCCCGTTTCCCGGATCGTTTGAGAAATGTGAGTGCGCTGAATCGGGCTCAGGCCTGAATCGGCCTCTTAAGCGCGGTTCACTTGGGCTTTGTCGCGGTACGCTTGTGTATGAGTGCAAAACGCATCTAAGCCCAAACTGAAAGCAAGACGTGACTTTTAAGGGACTGTTTTAAGGATTCATAGATCATTCTTCTTGTACAGTGAATGCAAACTGTTGTAGTTTATTAAAGACCCGGTTTAAGGCAACTGTACATAGTGAGAGTACAGCCCTTATAGCTTGCCAATCAGTGACATAATTATGTGAGATTCTAGGTAGTATTCAGATTGTGGATTACTTACAGATTACTTTTAGATTACTTTTGGCACACCTAGCTTTTAGGATTTGAACAAGACCTGAACAATTATTTGAACATTTTGCAATTTAATCGAATCACAAGTACACTATTTGTCATTTTCGAATTATATTTACATAAGTTCCAATACCCAGCACTGAACAAAAAGTGTGTAAAATCTGATTCAAGCTTTTTTTCATGCATAAATCAAGCGTTTTCTTGTCAGCGGATAGAGAATGATTCTTATTTACAACAGATGTCAGATTACAAAAGCCAAACATAGTTATATACATCTGTCAACACACTTAAAAATAAAGGTTAAACAATTAAAATGCCACAAATCAGCATGATTTACAGAAACCCTCCCTCATTTACTTATGATTTAAGGATCCCAGAAACCAAACAACTACCAGAATATCAAGAAACATGTACAGTGAAAATGTGCTCAGATAAACAACCTTTATATTTGAGTGTATCAAGAATTGCTGATTTTACATGTATATACTATATAGCAGTGGTTCTCAAAGGTTTTTCATCAAGTACCACTTCAGAAAAAAGTTGTCTTGTGTTAGGGCTGTTGCCTGTGTTGTGCTTGCGTGTGTCATGACGTCACTCACTGTTTGTTTCCTAGAGTCCGCCTTTGCGCACCTACGGCGAGTTGTGCTCGTTGAAAATTGGCTATAAATACATTGAGAGGAGAGAGAGGAGACTTCACAGCCAGCCATCAATCTTCTTTTTATTTTCTTTAATTTACTGTTTTGTTTGCTTTAAGTCTTACTTTAATCTAATTTGTTAATTGTTGGGTTGTTTGGTCTTAGGTTAATTGTTGTATGTTTGTTGAAGAATGTGAGTTTTTGATTCTTTATTGATTCTTAGTTGTGACACATGATTTGTTTAATTGTTTTGGTTGTAATAATTTTATTAATTTAGACAACCTCGTTTATGTGTACTCTTTATGTTGCGTTCCCTTTATGCATTAATTTTGTGTTGTTTGAAAAAAAGGGGTTCGTAACAGCAAGTACCATCATAATGAGCAGTATTGAAATACAGTAGCGTATTAGGTCCAGTAAAGCAGCTAAAACTCTGTACAGTTTAAAAATGAGGCAGATTAGTTCCTATTATTACGAACATATGAATTAAAATGTGCATTTAAAAGTTAAAAAATGGTAGGTTACTGTTCTTAAAAAGTAAAAAGAAAAAGGGGGAAAATCCTGGTTTATCAGCACCTGGAAATGTTGCTAGACCTTAAATATAGACTTTGTCATCATATTAATATACAAATAATTTGTGATAATTTATTTAAATATATGTAGCATGTACAGACATATTTGATTTATGCACATACCACTAGAAGGAAGCCCGCGTACCACTAGTGGTACACTTACCAGTTTGAGAACCACTGCTATATAGTGTCTTTATCAAAATTATTCTCTCTGACATAATCAATAAACAACCACATATTGATTTATCAATTACTTGATATATAATTCAGATTCTGACCATGAAAACAAAGTTTTTTGATAAGAAAACAGTTGTGCTTGAGTCTTGAATATGCTCGATTTAAATAGTAGCCTTGTTATCAGGGAAACAAAGGACAATTAGGTTATGTACAACCAATGTCTGAAACAGTTGTTAAAATATAACACAAGGAATGCTTGCAATAGGATTTTAAAAAAGAAAAGAAAACAGAGCTGCTTGTACGAGTCTGACACCACATCAGTTTTTTTTTTTTTTGATCCAGGTTGGAACTTTTGATTTTCCCCCCTCACAAATCCTGTTTTTATTGATGTGGTTCTGTCGCCATGTAGCAGTATGTGTTCTGTGAACTGTTAATCACTTGCATATTGGACAACCAAAAATAGATTTTACATAACAAAGAGGTTTACTCGAATCGGTTGCAGGCATAAGTGCCGCGTATAAACAAATAGTTTATCTGAAGGTCACACATGTGATGAACTAACAATAAATGAAATGCCCAATGTGTCACTGCTGGTCTAAATTTGTTGCTTTAGCTGCCTCGTACATTCCTAAAGGTACAGCCATTCAGTAAAAGGAAAAAAAAAATAGATTTATCCATACAAACTGTGATCAGTTATTTTCATTTCAAGGAGTCTGCAGAATATACAGATGGAGTCAGTATTGGGATTTATGTTTATAGGAGTGAAATGCCCTTGTTGAAAGCAGCAACATTTGTTCAAATCTTTTTTGGTAACTTATATTGAGCGTCAAAGTAGTCTTTAATGTTCACTTTGTTTTTAGCTGTGGTACTATTTGATTCTCTCAATTAAAAAAAAGTAATGCTATACAAGCGCAATTGTTATGTGCGCACATGTTAATTACTAATATAAAATGCATCATATAAATGTATGTCTTACATTCTACCTACAACTCTCAACAGAAGGCAGTGATATTTGAATCAGGAATCATCAGAGATTTTTTTTCTTTCTTTGGTTTGTCTGGAAACACAAGAACACTCAGACCACATCTGCATGTTCAACGAGCTGCGCTGAATCCTCTGATCACAAACATGAATCGTTGTGTTCAACATTGTCAACAAAGAACAAAATGTGCTAACATGTTCCTTTCACATAGTGAATAATATAAAAGAGAAAGAAAAGAGTGTAAAACAACAGGCTACCTCCGCAGTACTGTCCTCTCTGTAATTCAGCCAGTCTGCTTACGTCTGCCTCCATGTGGAACCTTCCAGTACTACAGGAAACAAAATCCTTCAAACGGCCGCCGAAAGAGCAGCTCAAACACAAAAAGATATCCCGAAGTCTCTTCAAGTTTCTGTGGTGTTTGTGAAGGAAATCAATTCAGAACCATGCGGATCTCCCTTCGGGATTACTTCTTGGCTAACTGGAACGGATTCTGACCCTTTTGATGAAAGAAACACATTTGTGTTGGATATCTTGCAAGGATGTCTTGGTGAGGGAGAAAGCATGTACTCTCAACAGCCACTTTATTAGGCAGCTACCATAACTGGAATTTTCAAGTACAATCATCTGGTAATTATACCTTGTAATGTTAAGAAATTTAAGAAACGTGATTGAGACGTTTCTTAAATTTGAGAAGTACTGATTTAGATGCAGTGTTTAGTACTGAGGTGTTGAGTTAGAAATTCTCATATAAAATAAATTAAATAGGATAATTACAAGATAATGGGAAATTAGCTAATATTCTGTGAGAGTCAGGTTCTTTGAAAATATAGTATTCTGCTCAGGTTTATGCCAAACTGCAACTACAAATTTTACATAAGCTTTACTTTATTTTTAGGTGAAGGTAGACACCACCATCTGTTTCTTTTCACACAAAATATGGAATGATAAAGACTTCTTTGAAATGTTAAAGTCTGTTGCCTGGAGCTTCAATGAGTTGTCTTGGAAGATATTTGTCGTGAATGAAATTAAAGAAGGGGTTGGGTGGTGGATGGGGGGTTGGGCAATCACCCATATTGCCCATGCCTAAATTTGCCACTGGTCACTTAAAATTGTTACATTGACTTAATTTTTATTATTATGCACACACTTAAAACACCTTATAATTTGAAGTCAAGGGGCTTTATTTGAATGATCTAGGTGCAAAGTCTAAAGTGCATGGTGAAAAAGCATTAAGAGCATGTAAGAACGTGTCCACTTTTGCTATTTTAAGGACATAAAAATACACTTTGCGTCCAGGTATACATGGTCTAACAGGGTTGTGTTTATTCTCTTAATGAGTTATGGATGTGTTTTAAGTATAACATGCTTTAAACCAATCAGAGTCTCATCTCTCATTCCCTTAAGATTCAGTTGCGTCACACCATGGCACATTTGTTATTTACATGGCAGACTTTGTAAGGAAAAAAAAAACTGAACACTTTACTTGTGAGAAAACAGTTAAACAGTTTTCTCACCTCTGCAGCACGAGGATAAAGTATGAGCCTCCTTCATTTGGCCTCTTTACTCTTCTTTCTTTATTTTACTTACTTTAAGGAAACTGTGTTGTTCACTGTAGACATCCATTAGCCTGCATATTTAAGGTTTTTGTTAAGCACAAAGACTTGTTTCAAAACTATTTCTAAATTCAGCTCTAATTTCAAACAAACTAATAAGTTGGTTATATCCAAACAAACGTCCTGTTCTTATGCCCCATATGGTGATGTAGATGTCTCCAAAACCGGACAGGTGGACAAATCTAAACTTTGTTTTTATCAAACAAGTATAAATATGCATATAATAATACCACTAATAATAATAACATTATACAAAAGCAAATTGTCATGAATAAACTGAAAAAAGCCCCCAAGATGAAGAAGGCATGGAGGCAAATATACATTTTTATATTTATATAGAAAATATAAATTTTGTAACATTTCAATCGTATATGTTTTTTTTTTTTCATTTGTAAAGATATTTGTGTATTGCAGTACATCCTGTGTGTTAAGCAATGTGTAAGCGTTTGGACCTGGATAGGCGCTAACACGCTCTGTGCTGGACGTTAGAGCAGGTTTTAGATGGTCAATGGTACAGTCTGTTTCAGTTCTTCAAAATAGCAACCTGCCAACAATGCGCCTTAACACACCTCCTTTGTAGACCAGAACACCCGAGTCCACAAATTGGCGCAAATGGTTTTGCTATTGAAACAGTGAGGTGCAAAGCGTGAACATTAGGGGAACATGTTCATCTTTTGCACCACACTGTTTAAATAGCAAATCCATTTTTGCCACTTTGTGGACTAAAACTAGCACCAAGTCGCACCAAACATGTTTTGTGCTGGGTGTATGATAAGGCCCAAGATGTTTTTCACTTTTTTTTTATTTTAAGTAATTTAATTGCTTTGAAAGCAACTGGTTTACTTACTTTTTTAAAGTCAACTAAACACTTTTACAGTGTTGAGTCTTGTTTTCTGTGCTACAATGGTATCACAATCTTGCATAAACAACATGAAAGCATTGTTCCATAGTTTAAATTTGGTGCAAGTTTCAGTTTTAGGTTGTTTTATTAACGGTTTTGTTTTTATTTTTATATTTCATTTTTAAAGCTTCAGTTTTAGTAATTCTATTTTAGCAGAGTTAATAGAACATGTTCAGTGTCGACAAGAGCAAACGCTGTGCAAACCTCTTAGCTAAAATACAACAAAAAACACCACACAAGTCAAAAAAGTCAAAATGATTACTATTTAAGACAAACTTCTTCATTTTAAAATAGATAAACATGCCTAGTTTACATTTTTGGCAAATAAGGAAAAGTTTAAACACTTTTTTTATGTTAGTATTTAATTTTATTAACATTTTTTTTTTTTTTAAATATTTAATTTTGTGATTAACCAATGTGTTTGGCTGTCAAAACGCCTTCTACTCTTATTTCTCTAGGCTCACTTATTAATGCTTATTTTATCTCAGTTCCTATTTAATTGGCTGTTGTTAGCTTCAGTTTTTTTTATTGTGAAATTTGTATCTTATTTCACTTAATGGAAATGTTTTCTGACCAATAGTCATTTGCAGTAACTGCATAGTCTGCATGAACCAAAATAGACCAGTATGTTTCCAACACCTTGCTGAATGAAACAATGAGGTCAATTCAGAAAGCAAAGTGTTCCTAATAAAGTGGCCGGTGATTGTACAATATAGAATAATTGAATCCAGAAACATAAGGATGCGGTTTTCACACTTCACAGCAGATGCGAATGCAACAACAAGCACAACTGGAGCATGTGAACACCCAGAGAGAGTTAATTTTTCTTAATCTCTGTGTGAACAACAACATGTCAACACTTCACAAGAAAATAGTTAAAAAAAAGAGTGTAAACTACATTAGTGCATTAAATCAAAGAGACATGCTAGGAAACATTTTGGCTGAACCTTTTACAGCCATTTATTAACTTGTATTCCTCATGTTGACAGCATAGCATCTTTGACATTACGGTTGATATGTCTCAAAACTACTTTGGCAGAGTAAAAGCATTAAGGCACGTTAGTATGAGGTATTACAGACAGATAAAAAAGTTTATAGACAATGATTACAAACCATGCTTAATATTAACTGGCAGAAAATGGAAACCAAACTGGAATAGCTTGTCAATGTAAGCAGCAGCAATCCTACACAATCCACTTCAACACTGAAGAAACACAAAACAAATCTGGGCCTTTCTCTATGACCCTGATGTTTATTGGGAATCAATATAATGTAAAATGTATGTTTATAATACTAACTTTATTCTTCATTTGTACTTAATAGTTGAGGTAATCTGGGACATACACTACTGTTTACAATATTGGGGTTGGAGAGAATGTAATAATTTTTAGCTTGAGCTGTTTGATCAAAATCCCAATAATATTGTTACATTTTATTGCAACCTAGAGCAAATCTTTACTAGCTTAGTGTATTTAATGCCATTTATTCAGAGTCACGTGATCCTTCAGAAGTAATTGTATTAAAATTCACAAGAAACATCTTAAAAAACAAAAAACAAAAAACCATGTCCAGCTTCTATAAAGAAAAAAAAAAGTTTTTTTTTCCAGGACTCTTAAGTACACATTTAAGCAGAAATAACATCATTTTATGTCACTCTTCACCAATTTGTTGCATTTTTGCTGAATAAACGTAATATTCAGACATACAGTATATCTGGAAAGTATTCATAGCACTTTACTTTTTCCACATTTGTTTATGTTACAGCCTTATTCCAAAATTTATTAATTTAAATGATTTCCTCAAAGTTCTACACACAATACCCCATAATGACAATGTGAAAAAAGAGTTTTTTGAAATTGTTGCAAATTTATAAAAAAATAAAAAACCTGAAAAATCAGATGTACAGAAGTATTCACAGCCTTTGCTCAATACTTTGTTGATGCACTTTTGGCAGCAATTACAGCCTCAAGTCTTTTAGAATATGTTGCCGCAAGCTTGGCACACCTGTCTTTGGGAATTTTTTTCCATTCCTCTTTGCAGTACCTCCCAAGCTCCATCAGGTTGGATGGGAAGCGACGGTGTACAGTCATTTTCAGATCTCTCCAGAGATGTTCAATAGGATTTAGGTCTGGGCTCTGGCTGGGCCACTCAAGGACATTCACTGAGTTGTTGTGAAGCCACTCCATCGAGTGTGCTATGGGTCATCGTCCTGCTGGAAGATGAACCGTCGCCCCAGTCTGAGGTCAAGAGCACTCTGAAGCAGGTTTTCATTCAGGATGTCTCTGTGCATTGCTGCATTCATCTTTCCCTCTATCCTGACTAGTCTTCCAGTTCCTGCTGCTGAAAAACATCCCCACAGTATGATGTTGCCACCACCATGCTTCACTGTAGGGATGGTTTTAGCCTGGTGATGAGCGGTGCCTGGTTTTCTTTAAATGTATTGCCTGGCATTCACTCCAAAAAGTTAAATTTCAGTCTCATCAGACCAGAGAATTTTGTTTCTTATGGTCTGAGAGTCCTTCAGATGCCTTTTGGCAAATTCCAGGTGGGGAGTGGCTTCCCTCTGGCCACTCTACCATACAGGCCTGATTGGTGGATTGCAGCACAGATGGTTGTCCTTCTGTAAGGTTTTCCTCTCTCCACAGAAGAACGCTCGAGCTCAGACGGAGTGACCATCAGGTTATTGATCACCTCCCTGATTGAGGCCCTTCTCCCCTGATCACTCAGCTTAGATGGCCGGCCAGCTCTAGGAAAAGTCCTGGTGGTTCCAAACATCTTCCACTTACAGATATTGGAGGCCGCTGTACTCATTGGAACTTTCAGAGCAGCAGAAAATTTTCTTTAACCTTCACAAGCCTTGTACCTCGAGACAATCCTGTCTCTTGAGGTCTACAGACAATTCCTTTGTCTCCATGCTTGGTTTGTGCTTTGACATGCACTGTCAACCCTAGGACCTTATATTGACAGGTGTATGCCTTTTCAAATCAAGTCCAATCGACTGAGTTTACCACAGGTAAACTCCAGTTAAGCTGCTGAACGATCTCAAGAGTGATCAGTGGAAACAGAATGTACCTGAGCTCAATTTAGAGCTTCACGACAAAGGCTGTGAATACTGATGTACACGTGATTTTTCAGGATTTTTATTTTTATAAATTTGCAACAATTAAAAATATATATTTTTTACATTGTCATTATGGAGTATTGTGTGTAGAATTTTGAGGAAATAAATGAATTTAATCCATTTTGGAATAAGGCTGTACCATAAAAAAAATGGGGAAAAAGTGAAGCACTATGAATACTTTTCGGATGGACTGTAAAACAAACGAGACAAAAACTGACCCCAAAACTTTTAAATGGTAGTGTAGATGCTTATTAGCAAACACAAATGTTTGTTTGAAAGTGAGCAGCAATATATGAGATAAGTTAAAAGAAGCACTAAATTCATTACCCATGTATGTAAATTGTATTTACCTCTACTATTGAACTGTCAGAAATAAAAATAAAGAAATAGAAAATAGCTGCTTAACAGGGGCATGTTTTTAAACATATTTACACAAGGCCCATAAAAGCAAAGCACTGCATGTTTGAATAGCGGTCATTCCTTCAGTACATAAAGCCATAAATGCAGTTTTTGCAATAATATCAACTGGTGATTATGGAGAAAACAAGCTGAAATGCTCACTAAATAAGTTATTCAATGCAACCTTTAGAAATGATGCACTGAAACAGCTCACTTGATAATTACACTGCACGTAGTAACCTACAGACTTTGAAATAAGTCATTTTTCAGTAAACATATGCAGTTACAGTGTAAGTTCATCAGCTGTGATGTGAACATGTTAATCTCAGAGCAAACAAGGCCAATTCATAACTCCAGCCCCACTAATCAGTGCAGCGTGGTCCGACACGACACATTAAAACACCGAGATACAATAAGTTAATAGGCACTTATCAGTTAACATAATGCACAAATATCATGCATATGCTGCCACAGTATATTTCTTCCTCGATCAAAACATTTGGACATAATGCATAGGTACAGTATAAAGTCCAATACATAAACAACATTACTGGTAATAAAAATAAACATCTGTACAAAAAAAGTCCTGCCAGTATTTTATGGTTTGCTGTATTTTCCATCAATATAACAGATCAATGCCGAAAAAAAAAGTACAAAAATAAATATTCTATTTACAATCACACATGGCATTCAGGAATTAACGTCACTGCAAAACAAGAGGCAAAAACACCATGTTAATTTCAAGCACACGAGCAAACAGAGGTATAGAATTGGCTTTCTATCACCAATGTTGAATCACCAATAAATCCTAGTCATATTCTTAACAACAAGTCTTAATGTATACAGTTAGGTCCATAAATATTTGGACATAGACACAATTCTAACATTTTTGGTTCTATACACCAACACAATGGATCTGAAATGAAACGATCAAGATGTGCTTTAACTGCAGACTGTCAGCTTTAATTTGAGAGTATACAAATCAAGTGAACACTGTAGGAATAACAACAGTTTGCATATGTGCCTCCCACTTGTTAAGGGTCCAAAAGTAATTGGACATAATAATAATCATAAATCAAACTTTCACTTTTTAATACTTGGTTGTAAATACATTGCAGTCAGTTACAGCCTGACGCATGGACATCACCAGACACTGGGTTTCATCCCTAGTGGTGCTCTGCCAGGCCTGTACAGCAACTGCCTTCAGTTCCTGCTTGATTTTCCTTTCAGTTTTGTCTTCAGCAAGTGAAATGCATGCTCAATCAGATTCAGATCAGGCAATTGACTTGGCCATTGCATAACATTCCACTTCTTTCTCTTCAAAAACTCTTTGGTTGCTTTTGCAGTATGCTTTGGGTCATTCTTCATCTGCACTGTGAAGCACCGTCCAATGAGTTCTGAAGCATTTGGCTCAATATGAGCAGATAATATTGCCTGAAACACTTCAGAATTCATCCTCCTGCTTTTGTCTGCAGTCACATCATCAATAAATACAAGAGAACCAGTTCCATTGACAGCCATACATGCACACGCCATGACACTATTCAACCCGGGCTCATTGTGGAAACGTAGCCCCGCGGACGTTTCTGCGAACCGCGATTTACATCCCGGGAGGTACGTAATCGAGCGTTTTTTTTGCCCGCAGCGTTCGCTCAAAAAAAACCAAACGCGGCCTTTACGTACCTCCGGCCACTTAAATCGCAGTCTCCAGAAACGTCCGCGGAGCTACGTTTCCAGAATGAGCTTGGGTTGACACTATTACCACCATGTTTCACTGCTTAGGATCATGAGCAGTTCCTTTCCTTCTCCATACTCTTCTCTTTCCATCACTCTGGTACAAGTGGATCTTGATCTCATCTGTCCATAGGATGTTGTTCCAGCACTGTGAAGGCTTTTTTAGAACTCTAATCCGGCCTTTCTGATGCTTTTGCATCTGCTTTTCATGTTGCCTCTTGGCCAGGTCGTCATTGTAAATGAGAACTGGTTCTCAATTGACTTACCTGGTTAAATAAAGGTTATTATTGAGGCTCATCAGTGGTTTATATCTTATGGTGAACTCTCTGTATTCACTCTGGTGTGATCTTCTCTTGATTGTTGATTTTGGCACACATACACCTACCTCCTGGAGAGTGTTCTTGATCTGGCCAACTGTTGTGAAGGGTGTTTTCTTCACCAGGGAAAGAATTCTTTGGTCGTCTACCACAGTTGTTTCTGTGGTCTTCTGGGTCTTTTGGTGTTGTTTATTGCTCACTGGTGCATTCTTTCTTTTCAAGAATGTTCCAAACAGTTGATTTGGCCACACCTGATGTTTTGCTATCTTTCTGTTTGGTTTGTTTTGTTTTTTCAACCTAATGATGGCTTGCTTGACTGATAGTGACAGCTCTATGGATTTCATCTAGAGAGTTGAAAGTAACAAATTCCAAATGCACATAGCACACTTGAAATGAACTCTGGACCTTTTATCTGCTCATTGTAATTGGGATAATAAGGGAATAACACACCTGGTCGTGGAACAGCTTAAAAGCCAATTGTCCAATTATTTCTGGTCCCTTAACAAGTGGGAGGCACACATTCAAACTGTTGTAATTCCTACACCGGTCACCTGATTTGGATGTAAATACCCTCAAATAAAGTACAGAGCCAAAAATGTTAGAATTGTGTTGATATCCAAATATTTATAGACCTAACTGTATATATATTTTAGCAAATAGGTTTTTTAGATGTTTGTAGATGACATAAAACTTAATCTATACCTCCATATCATGAAGTTATGCAATTATTTAAAAAAACAAACAAATTGTTAATAAACAGAACTCACTTTATTCCAACACCCTGGTACTGGCAGACCATCATCACCCTAGAAAAAGCAGGAGAGGTGGCAATGAACGGAAAGTTTTTCTTAAGAATGGAAACATAATCATAACAGTGCACATATTGTATCCTGTATATAACCACTTAAGTATTTACTTGTAAAACATACTGTACATTTCCTATCTGCAATAAATCATAAATTTGTATTCATGCACAAAACCTAAACACTTATATAGAGACACTATGAAACAATTACTTTATAACAATAATACTAGGCTATCTACCTTCCAGCAGGCACTTTGATTTAAAAACGACATAAAAAAAGAAACACCACAAAAATGATCAACAATTTGATGTTAAAACCTTTACATCCATATGATGCAAAAACTATTATAATATAATAAAAGTTTTATTAATAATATAAAAGAAAGCTTTAATTCCTGTTTTTACACAGGATTTTGTATCTCTTTATTGCATCTAAACTACACTCACCAGCCTCTTCGTTAGGTACACCTTACAAGTACTGCGTTGGACCCCCTTGTGCCTTCAGAACTGCCTTAATCCTTCATGTCATAAATTCAACAAGATACTGTAAATAATCCTCAGAGATTTTGTCCATATTGACAAGATAGCATTACGCAGTTGCTGCAGATTTGTCGGCTGCACATCCATGATGCAAATCTCCCCTCCCATTCCACCACAACCCAAAGGTGCTCTGTTGGACTGAGTTCTAATGACTGTGGAGGCCATTTGAGTACAGTGAACTCATTGTCATGTTCAAGAAACCAGTCTGAGATGATTTGTGCTTTATGACATGGTGCGTTATCCTGCTGGAAGTAGCCATCAGATGATGGGTACACTGTGGTCATAAAGGGATGGACATGGTCAGCAACAATACTCAGGGAGGCTGAGGCAGTGACACAATGCTCAATTGGTACTAATGGGCCCAAAGTGTGCCAAGAAAATATCCCAAGAAAATATATGAATTCATACTTTCATGTTGTTAACCTCAAACTCTGACCCCACCATCCAGATGTTGCAGCAGAAATCGTGACTCATCAGACCAGGCATTGTTTTTCCAATCTTCTATTGCCCAACTTTGCTGAGCCTGTGCGAATTGTAGCCTCAGTTTCCTGTTCTTAGTTGACAGGAGCGGCACCCGGTGTGGTCTTCTGCTGCTGTAGCCCATCTGCCTCAAGGTTTGATGTGTTGTGTGTTCAGAGACGCTTTTCTGCATATCTCAGTTGTAACAAGTGGTTATTTAAGTTACTGTTGTCTTGCTATTAGCTCAAACTAGTCTAGCCATTCTCCTCTGACCTCTTGCATCATTAAGACATTTATGCACACAGAAGTGCCGCTCACTGGATATTTTTTATTTTACAGACCATTCTCTGTAAACCCTTGAGACGGTTGTGGGTAAAAACCCCAGTACATCAGCAGTTTCTGAAATACTCAGACCAGCCAGTATGGCACCAACAACCTCGCCACGATCAAAGTCACTGAAATCACCATTCTTCAGCAGGTTGTCTGGACCACAGCTGCTTCCTAAATGGCACACTATAGACTATGCCCTTATGCACTTCTGTATGTACTTATGCACTTACACACTCAACAGCATAGTGTATAAATGTAGTGTCGTCCCTAATGGAACACTAATTGTTTTTTTACTAAGAGGAAATTCAAACTGTTTCCCTGATTACGTTTGTCGGTTGCCAAATTAGGAAAAACCAATGACCAAACTACCAAATAATACCTGCCATGAGTATAACCGCATTCACCATTGAGAGGCGCTATAATCACTCTTGTAGAAGAATTTTGCTTTCACAATCCAAAATAAATAAAGTAATCCAACATGTGCGCCCGATAGCTCCGACCCCTTCCACTACGTGAGCAAAGCAGTGGTTGTTAAGTGCGTGAAGTGTCCATCGTTCCACACTTTATATTAACTGTTGAATTAAAAATGCATCATCCGGGTAATTCAAGTGCATCTTTTTAGAGTTTTCAGTGTCAATGCACAACTTACACTATTTATACTACAAAATGGCATAGAATAGTGCATGAGTATGCGATTTGGGACACACCTCATGTCTACATGCCTATGCATTTGAGTTGCTGCCATGTGCTAGGCTGATTAGAAATTTGCGCTAACAAGCAGTTGGGCAGGTGTACCTAATAAAGTGGCCAGTGAGTGTACATTGATGTCAAAACTACATTAAATTGACGTCCCAAATTGGCATTAAAAACATCAAAAAACGACTTGAATTTGAACACTGAAGATGCCTTTTTGCAACACTGTTGATAGTGGCCATAGAGCCATAATTTGTCCTTATATGACATATGACATAAGGATCAATAACTTGACCAAAATAAGCAAGCTAACATGTTATACAGCTCTATGCTTAAAATATTAAAATGTTATTTACTATAAGTAAATTAAAGCAGCTTTAGTGCTACTGAAGAGTACATGTGTGTCTGAGCTGCAGTACCACTGCTCAAACTTTGATTTGAACACAAAATAACAGAAAATATATCTAAACGATCCTTACATTCCATGTTGTTTATTTACAGAAAGAATCGCACATTGTCCTGCGGACTAATAGTTAGTTTCTTCTAGTAGAAGTAGTTTCTAAATACTATGCTATTTAAAGGGATAGTTTTGTGTTTCACAGAAGAGGGAAACTAATAAAGGCAGTGTTAATTTTGTTGCCGGAAAATGTTCAAAATTTTTGTGACAAACTAGTTACCAACGAAAACTAGACGAAAACTAAATAAAAAAGTGATGATGACAATAACTATAATAAAAATAAACTGACATTTTCGTTAACTAATAAAAACGAGACGAGAATGTGATTGAGAGACGTTTTTTGGAAAATATCTAATCAGAATTAATCTTGGTGTGTGATGCATGACACACGCACACACACATTTGAAAAGTAACTGGTCCACGGTAGACGCGGGATGTGATTACATCATCTTCCATAGAGGTGTCTGTCAGATTTAACTATAATGAAATGATGACAGCTGAGGGAAAAAGAAGATTCACATTTAATGTCAAGACAAAAAGACCGAAAACTGTATGGGGTGGGAAATAGTTGATAAAAACAACAAATCTAAAGCGACATCAGCATGCCAGGGAATCTGTCTGCATCTGCCGCAATTGTCATGACAACAGCTATTTACAATTTACCTGTAACACAAAACTGCTTTATACAGGATGTCGTTTAGTGATGTGACTATTTCTTACGTCTGTAAGGATGTAATGATACTGAAGAGCTCTAATCTCCGCTTATTAGGGAGTCGCATACAATATACTATATTAAGTTATCAAGATAACAAAACTGCCTTGAAGTGAAGCACACTTTTATTTTTTACGGTCATCTTAACTTTAGAATTCCTCTTTGTGAGCTAACACAGCCATGGGACTGAGTGCACATTTTACAAGGTAACACATTATCATTTGTCGGTCATATGTCATTACTTATTTAATGAGTGCTATAGCTGAGCAACATGTACTGTAACACCAACTACAGCAGTAAAGTTTGCTATACACTGACATTGCAAAATGGACTTTCAAAGATTTAATGGCTTGAGTTGAAACTGTTCAAAAGACTGTTGCCACGTTAGTAGTTTACCAAGTTAAAATAAAGGGTTTTATAAATAATTGCACCATCCTGGATTTTCAGATGGCTACTGTTTTTACATGTGGATTGATTGCAGAAATTTTACAAATTACCTATGATGTAAATAAACAATGCATATCTAATTTTTAGTCTTTAATGGAAAAGCTATATTCCATATTTTAATCAGTTTTATTTAATTTTAAGTTAGAATATTTTGTATAGATAAATGAATACAATTTTTTAGTTAAATTACACTTAAATCAAACCAAATATATTTTAGTCAAGTAAATCTCGAGTATATTTAGTAACTAAAATCTTATGAAAGATTTGTCAACTTAAACTTTAATGAGTCATAAAACTAAAATATAACAAAAAAATAAATAAAAAATGGAATTTTAGTCAAAAGACTAAGATTAAAACTACAGTGCATCCAGAAAGTGTTCATAGCGCTTCACTTTTTCCACCATTTCTTATGCTAGAGCCTTATTCTAAAATGGATTCAATTCTTTTATTTCCTCAACATTCTGCACACAATACCCCATAAAGAATTTACAGCAGCTGAACTGCAATTAAGCTGCTGCATTATCTTAAGAATGATCAGTGGAAACAGAATGTACCTAAGCTCAATTTAAAGCTTCACGGAAAAGACTGTGAATACCTCTGTACATGTGATTTTTCAGGTTTTTTATTCATTCATTCATTTTCTTGTCGGCTTAGTCCATTTATTAATCCGGGGTCACCACAGCGGAATGAACTGCCAACTTATCCAGCAAGTTTTTACGCAGCGGATGCAGCGGATGCCCACACACATTCACACACACAATCATACACTACGGACAATTTAGCCTACCCAATTCACCTGTACCGCATGTCTTTGGACTGTGGGGGAAACCGGAGCATCCGGAGGAAACCCACGCGAAGGCAGGGAGAGCATGCAAACTCCACACAGAAACGCCAACTGAGCCGAGGTTCGAACTTCTTGCTGTGAGGCGACAGCACTACCTACTGCGCCACTGCCTCGGCCAGGTTTTTTATTTGTAATAAATTTGCAACAATTTAAAAAAAAAAAAATTACATTGTCATTATGGGGTATTGTGTGTAGAGTTTTAAGGAAATAAATGAATTTAATCCATTTTTGAATAAGGCTGTAACAAAAAAACGTGAAAAAGTGAAGCGCTATGAATACTTTCCAGATGCACTGCAAATCCAAATTTGCTGTCAAAATTATAACTGCATAAAGGTTTGGGAAAAAAAATATGACAACATTTTCATTTTTGGGTATAAGCTATCCCTTTAAGCACCATCATTGTTTGGGAAACTCACCCATGAGCTGTCAGACCAAAAAAAAAAGGAGTTTCAATATCATTCAAATATGATTTTGAACATAAATCACAGTTTTTCTGCAAGTCGCACTTGCTAAGTATGATCTGATTCTAATCGCATATGCACAAAAATCAAATTGATAGCCTAAACAAAGCCAATGTTTCGTGCATAGTTCATTAGTTTCACATACGCTAAATAAATAAACAAACTGTCAAATAGAAATATTTATTTGTAAAAATGAACTTGGATATTTAATATTTTTATAATTAAGTAAATTGGCTAATAATAAAAAATGATGGATAATACTAACTATTAACACACTATGTATTTTAAAGAGGGCTATTTTATAACTAAATGTTCTCTATTTAAAAATGGCTTTAAGTAGGTTAAAAGCATTATAGGTGTACAACAGCAGGAAGCATGCGGAATAAGCAAAGGGATAGACATCAGCATACCACAGCACATGGGGCATCTAGCCCATCCAGGCCTGGCAGCCCCGGTTCACCTTTCTCCCCTTTCAAGCCTCGGAAACCCTGTTTATGAAATCAGTCATTTAAACTTCCTGTCATCTAGCCACTCCCCCACACTGGCCGCTCTGTTCCAGCAGCTCATTGGTCCAGATCACACTGGACTTGTGACTGACAGGAACAGGTTCAATGTGTCCACAGGGTTGAAATGCCACTTAATACAACAAAGCTAGCTAGTTTGTTGAAGTACTGACTCATCCCATTGTGTCCAGCAGTACCATATTCCTGTCAGTCTTAACCCTGAAAAGTAAAAATCCCTTTCAGAGTTCTGGTCGTTAGTCTTTTTTTGCTACCAAAAGCTTTTAAAAACACTTTACTGATTGTTTACAGTTTGACATATGATTACTCCTATTATCAATATATACTGTATCGTCATTAGGACTTTAAATAAAGTGGATATAAGGATCATACCAATATAATTTACAGACTTTGACCAGAACTCTCATGGGTATTTGTTAGTTATTACACAAAGACAAAAGGAGACACTGCTTTCTATAAGTCTCCTTTTGCCTTAGTGCTGCACGTTGAACAAAAGACATACCAACGGACACGGGGCATCTAATCCAGGGGCTCCTTGGTCTCCCTTATCCCCTTTGGCCCCCCTGTTGCCTTTCTTGCCCCTCTCCCCCTGCAAACAAGTGCATTCAAAAAAAAAGTCACTCAAGTCCTCCTATAGCAGTACTTGTAAGCAAAGCACCATCACTGAGAATAATTGTATGACATTTTGGTTGCTCTACAAGACATTCTAAAAGGAGATGTGCTTATGAATGGAGCTATCATGAAGACTGGGATCATTTAAAAAGGGTAAGTGGAGGGGTTAAGGAGAAAGGAGATCAGCCAGTTAGGTTAGTGTGCAGACTTATTTACTCATTTATTATTTATTCTATGTGTTTTTGTTTTTTTAAATGGCTGAAGTATCGCAGGATTACAATATTACATTACAATCAATGTAAATTTATTTAAGTGTTAAAAAATATAAAAGCAAATAACAATATTAAAGATTTGCTTTATGAAAAGTTCATGCTTTTGGAAGCAAACCACTGGATTATTATAAATTTGTTTGCCTTAATTACTTAATATTTTTGAGCAGAAATGTGTTTAAAATATGTGTTTTTATTCTCACCGATATGGCGGTAATTTTATAAGACAGTAAATACAGTAATATTGCACATTATTATTACAATGTATATGCCCTGTTAACATTTTTATAGAAATTAAAAATGTATTTTATTGCTGTAGTGACAAAGCTGAATTGTCAGCAGGCAATACTCCAGTCATCAGTGTTAAATAATCTCTCAGAAACCATTATAAAATGGCAAACTGGTGCTCAAGAAACATGTACTTCTGTTAAACTTTATTTTAATATTCTTTTTGTGCAATTTGTTGTTTTTTTAGGATTTTTCAGCCGAAAGTTCAACAGAACAGCAGTTCTATATGAAATAATGAAATCAAATAAAATGTCCACTAAATATTATTATTCAATAATAATAAAAAATGTATAATAATAATAACATTAACAATAATAATGACATTACAATAATAATAATAACACTAATAATAATAATAATAATAATAATAATAACACTAAAAATAATAATAATAACAGCAATAGCAATAATAATAACAACACTAACAATAATATTAACACTTACAATAATAATAACAACAATAATAATGACAATAACAACAATAATAATAATGACATTACAATAATAATAATAATAATAATAATAATAATAATAATAGAATAATAGAACAATAATAACATCGTCAAAAATAATAATAACAACAATATTAATAATAACACTAAAAATAATAATAACAGCAATAACAATAATAATCACAACACGAACAATAATAATATTAACAATAATAATAATGATAATAATAATAACGATAACAATAAAAAAATAATAATAACACGAACAATAATAATATTAACACTAATAAAAATGATAATGATAGTGATAATAATAATAATAATAATAACGATAATAATATTAATAACATCAACAATAATAATAACAACAATAATAATATTAATAATAATACTAATAACACTAAAATCATAATAACAACAACATATAATAACAGCAATAACAATAATAATAACAACACTAACAATAATAGCAATAATAATACTAACAATAATAATAATAAAAACAACAATAATAAAAGCAATAACAATAATAACAACAATAATATTAACACTAATAATAATAACATCAATAATAATGACAACAATAATAATAATAATAAATAATAATAACATAAACAATAATAGTAATAATAACAACAAAAATAATAATAATAATTATTATTGGGTTTTTTTGTACATAAACAGCATGCCGTAAATGATGCCTTCACAGGGCACTTGAAATTAATGAAAATTATCGCAATCATGCTGTAGAGTCATTCTAACTGCAGATTATTTCTTGAGTTCTAAAGAACATACATTTTATTCCCCGAACTTTTCATCAAACGTTGGCCAATAAACAGACAATCTGCTATTGATTCCATTTAGGAACACTTGAGTGAAAAAAGACTAATGTATAAATGATGAAGAGGCCCTGAAACTGTTTAATCAACACGACTTGTCTTTAAAACTAATTAAGACCAGCTTTGCATTCGGAGGGTTTTGTGATATATCTTTGAGTCTGCACGCAAAGTTGAAGGGTTCTTTGGAGGAAACTATTACATTGAAGCTTTATAAGTCTTCCAAATTGGGATCTAACCATGCTAAGATTCAGAGTTCTACCATTCCGACAGCCCTCATCATGACTGTTATTCTAACACTTAATAGAGGAAGGGGGAAAAAATCAAAGTGGATTACATTATGAATCAACACGGAGCTCATTTTCTTATCCTGTTTGACAAATAGGGATTCCTTAAGCACCGTTTCTGAGCTTTTGGCTCCCGGCAGGAGTGTTTTTCCTAAATACCCACATCAGGATGTCAAAATGAGCTCCGCACTGACATAATGCCGTTTCCCACATTGCTTGGTTATGTGCCCTTTCAAAATAGATCCAGATGAGGCTTTCGTGGAACAATACGAACTCTGTGCATAAGGATAATTGGGAGAAAATGAATGCAGGTTGGTAGGGAGGTCAGTGAAGGATGTGCACAAAAAAAGTAGGAAGTGAGGAAGAGGAAGAGTATTAACCCAGACTATAACATTAGGATGCAGGAGGAGCAGGAGGAGGCCAGGGAGTGAGAGGGGGACAAAGAGGACGACCCGGCCTGACTCAGCAAAAAGAGCCACGGACACAGGCCAGGGTGCAGGGGGAGGAAAAGGGGATAGGAAGACCTGTGGAAAAAAAGAGAGAGGAAGACAAGGACCAGAGTAAAAACAGCACCGTGCCCAAGAGTCCTCCACAGCACCTTCCCTGAGACGAGGATCAGCACAGTGGCAGAATTTGTAATTTTTTTTGTAGGTTTTTACAAGAGTTATGTTTGTAAAATTAGCAGTGGAAGATGCTGGGAGGAGCACTGACATGTCCTGACATTCAAGGTGGGAGACATTCAGACATAAACTTAGAAATTAGTGTTAATAGGAAACAGGCATACAGTCTAGGAGGATGAAAGCATAGGGGAAGCAAGGCATTCACATGTACTTCTCATGGAAATGACAAAACATTTGAACTTTAGCCTTCATGTTTTTACATTATTCATGCAAACATCATTTGTGTTTAATAGTCTTAGCATTAAAAATAATAACAAAAAGCTAAAATTGACAAATAAACTGTTCTAATACAAGAATATAACAAAAATAATCATTCATGACCAATAAACATATACAGTGACATCTAAAAGACTATTTCGACAGGTTTTTTTTTTCTTAAACATTCAAATTAGAGAACATAATAATTTCTGTAATTTCAAAGTAAACTCTCGCAAAAAAGCTACACTGTGGTACATTTAATGTTTCTTAAGGAAAAGTCTTAAATCTTATATGGTACAATTGAAATGAAGGTACACAATCTTAAGTGACTGAAATGCTCAGAGCAAGTTATCCAGATGAAAGCAAAAGGGATGACACTTTCAGCCATCGCAAGAGAAGTTGGTCATTACGTAAAATACTGCATCTTTACAATGTCACTAACTCATTCAAGGTAGCCAAAATGTATGATCGTTTATCGTCCATGAAAGATAAATGCTTGAGAATACAAGGTATTCCAGAGAATCTTAATGGCCAATTGTTAACCATTGTGTAATCTTTCTACTATGATCAATGTTTACTTATTTTTGTTCACCTAAAACACTATTCTATTAGCATAGTAGAGCAACAACTTAAATCCCTTCACATTTTAATCCATGGGGATTACATTATTACTGATAAAACAAGTGTTTATAAATTGTTCTATAATTTTCATCTCCACTTTACATAAAATGATCAATTTAATAAATGAACACTAATCTGATGGGTCATTCAGCTCAAACAATTTGATCTCAACGTAATACCATTTCTCTTTTAATGTTTTCAGATTTATTGAACTTATTTCAACCCGGGCTCATTGTGGAAACGTAGCCTCGCAGACGTTTCTGCGGACCGCGATTTACGTCCCGGGAGGTACGTATTCGAGCGTTTTTTGTTTTTACGGATCTGCGAGAGGCCGCTCTGTGCGCTTTTTCGCGTCTCGGGCGCCTCTCGGGAGCACGCGCCGTTCGCGCCCGCGCCGTTCTCGCGCAAAAGGCGCCGGATTGGCCGACTCGGCCGCCCTCCTCTTCACCCTCCTCCTCCACCTTCCCTAAACCCAAGCGACGGTTCGCAAAAGCCGTCCAGAAAAAAAAAAAAAAAAAGCAAAAGCCCTCGTCTTCGATTTTGACCGCGTTTTCGGATCCCGCCGCGTTCTCACCCTTATTTTTCAGATTCCGTTTTTCGTCTTACCTGATTTCCGGAACCTGCTGTTCCCCGGACTCGATCCCGGTCGTCGTCCACCGCGGCCGGCTCCTCCTCCTCCTCCGGGGCCTCCGCTCCGCCGACGCAATGCTGTGAGCTAAGCGGACAAACTGATTGCATCGGGAAAGCCCTCCACTCGGAGGCGAGCCGTCGGCCGGCGAGCGCGAAGAGGAGGGGCGGAGTGGCGCCACACCGCCCCGCAGCGTTCGCTCGAAAAAAACTAAATGCGGCCTTTACGTACCTCCGGCCACGTAAATCGCGGTCTCCAGAAACGTCCGCGGGGCTACGTTTCCGGAATGATCTTGGGTTGACTTATTTCCAGGTTTAATCATTTATTTTATGTAATTTTATTTTTACAGACTTTTAGACCCCACTGTACATGTGCAATTTTTGCAATGAGCAGTAGCCATTCTCATTTCTTATACCCAGCATGTTTCTGCATGTCCTATGAACATAAAACAATCTTTACAATCAATGATACTATATCATAATCCTTAAGAACAAATTATATAACCACATGTATTTTATAATAAACAGTTTGGCAGACTCATGCTGGTTTAGAAATATAGTCCATTCCTTTATTTTAAGAAAGTGGACTTAGGTTATTGTACCTTAAAGTCACAATAACATCTACAAACAAACTAGAAAAAAATCACAACTTACCTTGATTCCTTTTAATCCCGGTGGTCCTACTAAACCCTGAATGAATTGGGAAGAGGTATTATTGATGGTCTATTATTCATTTGAATACTCTTGGAAAGTTTTTGAAATGGTAACATGTGGTCTGATACAGCACTTACAGGGATGCCTTGAGGCCCAATTGGTCCTGCTACTCCCATATCACCCTTTTCCCCCTGCAAAAATGAAAAAGGCTTGCATTTTAGTTCAATGTATTACATCAGAATTAATATCTATTATTGTACTATCAAGGAATATGTCATTTTGATTGGTTGAAAACAGACTGTTAAGTTCTGACCTTTTAGAGAGCTACTTTTCACTTGGTGTGCATTAAATATCCTCTTGGTGTGCTTTAAAAATCTTTGAATTCAACAACTGATGATGTCGTTGCATTATGTATCATCTAAGCAATGATGCAAGCTAATTGTGATGTACTTTAAAGCTCCAATAAAGTGCTTTCACAGCAAAAAAAAAAAAAAAAGTCTTAGATTGTCTTGGTCTTGTTTATAGTTCTAATATCAAAAAAATCTTAAATCAAGAAGTCTTTTCTAGTTAATGTTGACATATAATTTCTGAAAATAAGCAGTAGTAGTAGTAATAAACTTTATTGTCCTTGAATGGAATTTTTTTATGAGCATTACCATATTTCTGCAGACATTCCATAAAAACAAGCGATGAAAACAATACAAAATACAGCAGTTACAAAATTTATAATGTTAATTAAGATAGACTCTTGTTAAATAAACCCACTGAAACAGGTACAAAGGATTTCTTATAACGATTTAACCTAAAATCTGGGACTCTCTATCTTCTACCAAAGGGAAGCAGTTCATAATTTGGAAGCAAAAAATAAGTTATTAAAAAAATAAGGTTATTAAAATGTATATTTTTTCCTAATCTAGAAAATGTTTCTTGATTTAAGAATTTCAAGATATTTGAACTAGAGACCAGTTGAAAAAAAAAATAGGTAAGAAAAGCTTGCCCTGCAGTGTTAAATTCTTTTTTTGAGTATTTGAAGTAATTTGGACTGAAACATGAAGGGTTCTTTTTTAACGATCTAGATGCAAAGTCTAAAGCGCAAGTTGCAAAAACATGAAAGGTGTGTCCAAACCCACTTTTGTCATTTTAAGGACAGAAAAATACGCTCTGCACCCTGGCGCATGGTTTAACAGAGTTATTCTTTTAATGAATTCTTGGGTGTGTTTTGAGAATAACGTGCATTAAACCAATCAAAGTCTCATCTCACATTCCCTTTAAGAGCCAGTTGCGTTGCACCATGGCACATTTGCTATTTACGTGACGGATTTTGTAAGTGGAAAAACTGAACACTTAACTAGCAAGAAAACATCTAAACAGACCTTCACTTCTTTTGTGAATAAGAAAACGTTGTTGTAAACATCCATTAGCCTACATGTTTAATTTAGTTTGTTAAGAGCAAAGATTTGTTTTCAAAACTAAATTCAGTTCTAACTTCCAGCAAATAAATAAATGAACAATAATAATGAAGTGTGGTCAAATTTTTTTTATATCCAAACACACATCCTATTATTATGCCCCATATGGTGATGCATACATCTCAAAAACCTGACAGGTGAACAAATCTAAACTTGTTTTTATTCAAACAAATATAAATAATACTGCTAATAATAATAACTTTATACAAATGCTAATTGTCATAAATAAACTAAAAAAGCCCTCAGACACGAAGAAGGCATGAAGGTAGTGGTTTTTATATTTATGTAGAAAATAATAACCTTTGTAACGTTTTATTGCTTTTTTTTCATATGTGAATATATTTGTGTGTTGCTGTACATCCTGTGTGTATTACGTAATGTGTTTTGGACCTACATAGGCGCATAACTAATGTGCTCTGCGCTGGACTTTAGACCAGCTTTTAGTTGGTCAGTGGTGCATTTCAGTTCTTCAAAATAGCAACGTGCCAATAGTGCGCCTTAACACACCTCCTTTTTAGACCAGAACAACCATGAGTTCACAAAGTGACACGAATAGATTTGCTATTTAAACAACGTGGTGCAAAATTTTAAAATTAGGGTTGCGCTGGTCTGAAAATAACAACAAATCGCGCCAAACGCATCTTGCACCTTATTGCGCGAGGTGTATGATAAAGCTTGGTTCATACTTCTGCGTCAAGTGACCAGCTTAACCCACGGCGCATGCAATGCGCGTAGCTGTGCATGTATACTTTTGCGCGCTGTCTCTGTTGGTCTGCATTAACACTTCCGAAACGCTAGTTGGCAGTGAGGTGTAAATGTTCCTCTGTGTCTAGTTTCTTCGCTCGTGTTTTGCTTTTCCTAAACACTTCTTGAATGTACAAGTGGCTCAAACTCGCTCATTTTGAGGCAGAAACTAGCGGACGTGCAACATCTTTAACTATGAGGTAGACACAAAACAAAACTTTCCATCTGGAGCTCCTTCACAGGACTCCCCACTTGTAAACAATCGCTCCATCGGGGTCGCGCCATTCGTGCTGCTCTCGGTCCCGCCCAGACTTGTCAGCGCTACCAAGCAGACCAATCACAGAGCTTGCGCTACGCGTCGTTGCGACATGTAGTTACATTTTTTGATTGGTGCACGTCAGCGACGCCGACGGCCACGGCGTAGAGCTATGCGTCAACGCCGTAGCATACGCGTGCGTTTGACGCAAAAGTATAAATCAGCCTTAAGGCCCAAAGACAGGGCAAGTTTTTTTTTTTTCAAAGAAAAATTTTGTTGAAAAAAAAGTGCATGTATACAGCTATATTTTGCTTGTTTTGAGATATTATTTAACATTTGTGGCTACGAATTTTTTTTGTGTGTGTGTGTGTGGTCAGAGATAAATTTGGTAAATCCTTAATTTTGAGCCCTAAAAAGTAATGTGAAATAAAAACTCACAACCCATTAGCTCATGCACATTAAGCAAGTATATAGGCATGTGGACAAAATCTAAATCAAATAATTTTAGCTTGTCAAAGTCTGATTTATGCATATAAAATATTCAATAATTCCTAACAACAAAATTCTGGCAAGTGATAATGGTAAGTAATGGTAAGATGCAAGTAATGCTGGAAATCTACTAGCCACAGTGACTGGTGATCGAAAAAGTTAACGTTAAGCCCTGCTCGCACATATGATTGTTTATTTTATAACCAAAACACCAACCATTTCCCCTTTTGGTCCTGCAGGTCCAGGAACTCCTGCTGGTCCTATCAGACCCTTCGAACACAGAAAGAAACATTTGTGAGATTCGACAGCAGGGATGATTGTGGGTGACGAAGTCAAAAGGGGAGAAAGTCTAGTCATTCTTGAGCACCAATAGATCAACAAACTTCTTTGAGCTGAATAAGCCCAATTTGAAAACCCTAATGCATGTTTAAAAGCTCCAATCTGCTGAGGAATTTGACAAAACTCCAAAGTTTGTTGATCTAAGTGGAAATAAACGGACACACAAGTAAATATAACAGCGAATCCATCTTCCATTTTCCTCCCGTGACTTGGAGAGGATTGGACAGAAGGGCTGTTAGACATCTTGCTTTTTCAGGAGTCTTGCTTCTCAGCCATTTATATATAGTTGTATGCCATACTGTAATTGTTCATGCAGCCGCATCCCATCATGCTCTCTCTTGGTATATGACATTGCAAGGTCAAAGCTTATCTTGGAATGAAATAAAGCTTTGAAGCTTGGAGAGAATTAAGCCTTTGAAAGGTCAACAGAGGTCAGACGCGCTGAATATATACATATATATATATATATATAGTGCTATGGAGGGTTGTGATGACATGAAATGCAAAGGAATTATTCACTTTGGTAGATTACCAAGTAGCCACTTTTCAAAGAGAGAGAAAGTGCATTTCAGACAGACAGAGAGAGAGATGTTTATAAGTGTTTGGCCATGCTCCCCTTCAGTCACTGGTGTGTTGACAGGTTGAGAAATAAACCGAGCGTGGTACCTCTGGAAACAGCAAGAGGCAACAGCCAAACAGGCTTAGGGAGAAAGTCAAATCAAAGTCTTACTCATGCCGATGTAACCTCAACAGAGATCTAAACAAGGCCTTGACCATTAGACAACACAGAAAGGACAGAAGACCAGCAAGCAACAGCTCAAGCATAGGCAGACAAACAAACAAGAGAAGCAGGCAGACTGGGCAGGAAAAGAAGAGATGGATGGATGGAAATAGAAGGGTGGATGATGGAAACGGTTCTTGCGCCACTCACCACTGGACCAGGCCTGCCGTCTAAACCATGAGCCCCCTGGACAGTGTGTAAAGAGTTACAGAGCGAGAGGAGAGATGGAGGTGGTGGAGAGGGAGGGAGGGGAGAAGTGTGGGGGAGGAAAGGGTGGGTGAGTGAAACAGTGACTCGTGTGCCACATAAAAACAACACTAGTTTTGATGGAAGGGTGACGTGTTGAAGATGACATGTAAAAGACAGGCAGTAACTCCTTTTGTTGGGATTTTAGCTTTTAGCTTCTTGTTTAGAGTCTTTGTCTTGTTTCTTGTCCAAATATCTAACAATTCTTCAATCAAAAAACAACTTGTAGACAAGTAAATAAACATTGTTTTGTTTTCAGAAATAATAAATCAATTTAAGAGTTTTTTTTTTAGAAAACAAGCTAAATTTCATGCCAGTAGGGTAAGTAAAATAATCTTGGTTTCGGTTTGAAATAATATTATTTTACTTACTCAACTGGCAGATTGTTTAGATCAGGGGTCTTAAACTCAAGTTGGCGGGGGGCCATTTCAGTTACTAACAATTCATAGGAGGCCATTTTAATATTCAAGTACAAGAAAAAAGTAGAGACAGCACGTTTATCTTGTCACACATTAGCTGCTAAAATACAGCTGAAATACAGCTTAAAGTGACATTTAAAGGCTTAACTAGGTTAATTAGGTTAACTAGGCAGGTTAGGGTAATTAGGCAAGTTATTGTATAATGATAATTTGTTCTGTAGACTATTGAAAAAATATAGCTTAATAGGGGCTAATAATTTTGGCCTTAAAACGATTCGTAAAAAATTAAAAACTGCTTTTATTCTAGCTGAAATAAAACAAATAAGACTTTCTCCAGAAGAAAAAATATTATTAGAAATACTGTGAAAATGTCTTTGCTCTGTTAAACATAATTTGGGAAACATTTAATAACTAATAAATCTTTCAAAGGGGGGCTAATAATTCTGTATATCTGTGGTTGTTGTGTGTATGGCCAAGCGTTAAGACGCACACTCAGTCATTCTTCCATAGAGTACATGCAGTCAGAAGCGGTAGTTTAAATTGCTATGAAAATACTACAAATAATAGGCATACTAGTTATTATTCTGTCCTAACCAATTGTATTGTCCCAATAGCATAAGAATAGCACAGTTTGGGTAACTTAAGTGACTTTACTGGCAATTGTTCTTCTCAATATCTTTCTTTTTTTTTTTTTGTAATACTACAACAAAAAGGGGAAAAGTATGTACAAATTCAAATTTACGTTAAGAAGTTAAATTCAACTAGCAGTACAATTTTACTAATGTAACCTACATAGTTTTTTATGCAAATCTTAATAAGCATATGAGTAAAATATATCGAATGAGACCAATTAAACATTAGCAAAATTATCATATTTGTTACACCACCAGCAAAACATCTAAGCCACGATGAAGTGTTTGTAAAACAAAATACAAGTGGTATAAAACTGATAATAATCAAAAGTCATGTTAAATATTTACAAAAACAAAGCTTTAGTCAAAATTGAGCACTTACAAACATATATTTTAATGTTTAAATCGGCCATAGAACTAAAACGCATGTGTGTTACTCTCAACCATACATTAAGAGAAAATGAAAGTAAAAGAATCTGAATGCAGTACTTTAAATCTCGTCTAGGTGGTGGGTCAAAACCACAAGTGGCTAGACGCAACTGCACAACAATGATAGTGGTTCAAAAATACATGTTTTGGCGGGCCGAATCTCGGGCGGGCTGTAAATGGCCCAGAGGCCGGCAGTTTGAGACCCCAGGTTTAGATTGTTTTAAGGAAAATCTCACTTAATGTTCATTCATTCATTCGTCCCTTTAATAATCCAGGGTCGCCACAGCGGAATGAACCGCCAACTTGTCCAGCAAGTTTTTATGCAGCGGATGCCCTTCCAGCCGCAACCCATCTCTGGGAAACATCCACACACACACTCATACACTATGGACAGTATAGCTTATCCAATTCACCTGTACCGCATGTTTTTGGACTGTGGGGGAAACCCACGGGAACACAGGGAGAACATGCAAACTCCACACAGCAACGCCAAATGAGCGGAGGATCGAACCAGCGGCCTTCTTGCTGTGAGACGACAGCACTACCTACTGCGCCACTGCTTCACCCTCACTTAATGTTGACTAATTATTTTCCATATTTTTTTCTAGTCTGGGAAATGCTTCTTAATTCAAGATTTTTTTTAGATGTTTCGACGAGAAACAAGACAAAAATGTAAGGTCTACTTTTCTTAGTGCATGTGAGTTAACAAGCTGGTTCTTAATACAGCATGCTGTTTTCAATCATTCGTTTGATCTTTGTGCATGGGGATAAAATGACAACAGGTGGGATATAAATTCCAAAAGAGATACAAAAACTAAAAATAATACTTGTAAATAATTGCTTGATTGCAAAACCAAGTGAGCTGCCTTGCTGTTCACTACCCTCTAAGGCAGCATGCTAACTGAAACCTCAAAGTGACTTTACTGGAACACTATACATAGGCAGGATATCTGCATGCCACAAAAACACTGCTCCACATATAGCATGACGTGGGAGATTTGAAAAGTTAAGATTGATTATAGCATGTTTTAAGCAAACAAACCGACAAGAAGAGGGAAAATAGATTATACTAATATGAAATTTTAGGGCTGGGCAAGTTAACACGTTATTATCTCATTGATTAATTACTGCAGACAATTAGTTTGAACAACCCAGGCTCATTCTGAAAATGTACTTCTATATACATTTCTGGAGATCATCAAATACGTCCCAGGAGATATATTTTTTTGCAGTTTTTGTTTACGTGAATCCACCAGAGGCCGCTGTGTATGTTTTTTGAGATCTCAAATTTCTCTCGCGAGTGTCATTCGCACCTGCTGTCCTCGTGTAAGAGGCCACTGTCGACTGAATGACCGACTGTTTAACTGACTGAACGACTGACTGATTGACCAATCAACTAACCCACCCTCCTTCCCTAAACCCAATAAATACTGTTTTCGAATGCACCGATTGACTCACCCACTCACTTTCGTCAACCCAACCCACAGTTTTAAAAAGCAATACAGAAAAAGAAAACCTTCGCCTGATTTTGACCACGTTTTCAGATTTGACCACATTTTCACCATGTTATTTATTGTTTATCTTATTTTTGGCTTCTGTTTTTGTCTAACCCACTTTCTAGAACTGTTCTTCGCAGAACTTGAACTCCACTGTCATGGTCAACTCCTCCCTGTGTCTCAAGTCACCAACATACTTGACAAGCTAACTGGACAAACTGGTAACAGTGGAAAAGCTGTCCATATGGAGGTAAGCGGTCAGCTAGTAAGAGTGAATAAGACCGACATCATAACTCCCCATAGAGTTTAGTTTTAAAGACGAAATGCAGCCATACGTACTTCTGGCTACATAATTCGCGATCTCCAGAACTGTACATAGAGCTATGTTTTCAGAAAGAGAAGACCCAACGTGTTTTGGGAAACACTCATCACTACATCGTTCTTTTCCCAAACGATGCTTAAAACTGTAATAGTTCAGCCACGAGTTACGTCGTTGTTTGGAAAACGCACCCCAGGTTGGGTAGAAAATTATTATACAGATTATACAGCGGGAGCGGTTGGGTGTGGAATAAAACCTGGCGGGAGCGGCATTAAAAATTCAGTCCCGCCCAGATCTCTATACTGTAGTTCATAAAGCTCTTTTTTATCAAGCTGGTTATCTGAAAATAAGACCTAAACATAATAAGACATAAATGCCCTGGCCTTGGTTTTAGATTTACAGTAATTCACTCATTCATTTTCTTTTCCGCTTAGTCCCTTTATTAATCTGGGGTCGCCACAGCGGAATGAACCGCCAACTAATCCTGCATATCTTTTACTCAGAGGACAGACTTTCAGTAATGTTTAAGTTTAAACTTACAAGATATTCTAACTGTTCATAAAAAGGAACACTGTTATATAACTATAATACAACTATAATAAACTCCTCAGTTGTTTGAAGTGTAATTGCACCTTTTTTCCTATAGCAGAACCTTTAAAATAAAATTGTGCAATACACTTTTAAATTAATAGTTGAATTTTGCATATTAAAATGTGATTAATCGCAGATAAATCAAGCAAATAATAAAAAATTAAAAATTTTAATAGTTGCCCAGCACAAATACATTTATAAACTAATACAATTTTTATTCCCTTTACTTGGTTCATTAGATAGAATTTTTATCACTACATGCATACATCTAACACATTCAATATGCTATTTTCGATCATAAACAGGACACATGCTGATTTAAAAACCGTGTACCATGTATTCAACATCTCAATTTTGAAATCTCAGAGTTGCCTTAAAAAGGAGTTACTGTGCCATTGATGCTGTGACTAGAACAAGTTTATCAATGACTTTGACACCATAAATATACACCAGACGTCTGAAAAAGACCCCTGAAGTTCACGGTAATAAAATCTACAGTATAGCATGCTATTTACAGGGCAGAAAGGAAACATTTATAAACAACCACATACAGTATTTTGAAATAATGACTTGGACATCAGTGAGTTATCATCAGGAACTTGTTGGTAATCTATTAAAACGTGTATAAAACAGCGTGACAGGATGATTACATGATGACACTTGTATATACGATTGCCAAATGTGGACATCCACTGATTCATGCAATGTGATGACACTTAGCTTTGAACCATGACAATAACAAAGACACATGAAATAGCAGCACACTGATATAAAGCACAAAGCTTACACAAACATGCTTTTCCGATAATGTTTCAATTTACTTATGCACTGGTTTCATGGGGAAGAAGTAATGTACTTATTGTTTTCGTCTCACCACAACTAATTTGATATATTGGCTAGCATTCAAGATATGAATGAAAAGGTACTTACAGGAAGTCCAAGATGGCCCCTGTCTCCTTTATCTCCCTTTTGTCCAGATGATCCCTTCTCTCCTTTCAGGCCTATTCCTGGCTCTCCCTAAACCAGAAAGAATAAATCAGATCCACAACCTTGTTTAGCATATGAAAGACAATACTGGAATATAAAAGGGGCTTGGGCAGGAATACCAACCTTTGGTCCTGACAAACCTGGAGATCCCTGATGAGAAACAAAAAGTTGCAAATTAGTTCCTCTTGACAAATGCACCATCAACGACCACACGGGTGTCCATTAGACAAACAAATATCCTCTAAGTGGCTGAACCATAATATACATATAAGCTTTACGTGAAGCAGCCATTGCCCTCACCATTGGCCCAACTGGCCCAGCAGGTCCTGGAGGTCCAGCAGGCCCATAGACCTTAGGAAAAACAGAAAAGGGAATGTCTATTAATGACCAACTTAGGTAAATTATATATATATATATATATATATATATATATATATATATATATAGAGAGAGACACACACATATATATATATATATCTCTCTCTCTGTCTG